ACCGTTTATAGTGAGGGTGTGGCATGATATCAAAGAGAAGGCATTCTTCCTCGCCAAGATTTTTGACCTAAAAATGCTCTCCTTTTCAAAGAGTCAGAAAACAGCTGCTCTCGTACCAAATCTTTAGTCCTTTCAAACCAAGAGACAACGCAGGAACGTTCCGCACGATTGGTGGACAGTATCAAACCAAACACAGATTCTTAACATGCGTACTCTATTGTGTACAGAAACTTCAGACGAGATGTGGATCTCACCTGCATTTTGTGAATCTTTTCGAGCTACAACAACTCCAGGTAAATGATCTTGTTGATCGAGATCAGGATCATGAGGAATCAACATGTATCCGGGAATCTGGCGTTCGATAGTGCCATTCATCCATTGTACATCCACTAGTGTATTCGATAATAAAACCTAGAATGAGCATATTTTGGGAGAGATACCCAAAACCACTACAAAAAAGGATACGACATCTTTTATAAGACTTGTGAAGAAAAATTTGAAAAACAAAACTATGACGCAGCTAAAACTGATTACAGAGTAAAAACCAACCTCTCCTACGAATCCGTCACCGAGCACATCTTTAGCTAACCGAGAACATCCTACTGGCAATGACGGAGTGCATCTTCTTCGCCTAGTTGGATATTTTCTTCTGAAACAGCACTGCACTATTACAGCAACTAGCAAATGGTAAAAATAGTACATTCGTTTTTGCCGCAAAATGGTACGGCAGGCGGAAACTCTGGTTTTGCCGCAACTTGAAGGCACATCGTTGTCGTCGCTACTATCGTCTGAGGAAGCTGCTTCTACAGTGTGGGCCACATCGCCTTGAGCCATCTGAAATTTTTGAGAAACTTTCCCTAGGAAACTGCTAAAAAGGCTTATAGTTGTGCAAAGTTCGTAAAAAGAGATGCAGTCATGCTGAATTCGATGCTTCCCGGGAGTTATGCATGTACCGATGTACCGATACATCAGGACACGAGCTGGCACCAGGGAAATCTCAAAAAACGAAGTCCCCTTTGATCATGAAAATATTGTACGAGTCCCCTTGACCCTAAACCTTAAACCTCCTGGAAAACGAACCCGTTGCTTTTTGTCCTAAAAACGATATCCAGCTTGACCCTGCCACCTTAGCCGAGCCCTGAGATACATGGTTCTCTCGTGTTTTTCAAGCAAATTACGTATGTGGGAGAAAAGAGAAACTATGGAAAAAGTTGCCCTTTCCATAGTTCTTCCAAAAAATTTTGCGATGATGCAATTTTGAGAAACAAAATGTGACTTTCTGTCATGAACTTCATGCAGTTTACAAATTATGAGAATATTTTGAATCTAGTTTCTAGTGACAGTGCATTACATGCCGCTGAAGTTCATAATGCCGCTACCTTGAAAGACAACATTATCCCTACCTAATGCAAAATCCAACCTAATGAAGGGAATGTGATGCGCAGATAACAAGTTTGATAAACCCAAAAATGACCATCGTGCTTCATGATGGATACACAACGCTCATTTGCAAGTAGTCATACGCGAAAACTCACTGTTGCTTCGGATGAGATGGGAGTTTGCGATGAATTGGCCTCTGTTTCCTTCACTTGCTCTGCGGAATTGCTCAATCGAGCGATTTTCGCAGCCTGAATTGAGAATTTTAACCGTGATCAAGTAAAAAAACATGAAGATGAGATTTTCTGCTTGAGTTCGCGAACCAAAAATATAACAAGAAAATGGAGATATATAAAAACAGACATGACGAAGACAAAAAGTAGAGAAAGCGAGAATACTGTTGATAAGCAGAGCGCTAGAGAGAAAAAGTGATCCCATCATCTCTCAAAAATGTCTCAAACAGCTCTCATTAAAGATACAACTAAAGCATCATCAAGATAGACATTTCGTAGATATTTTTAGCATAGCATAAGACCTGATCTGGCCGGTGACCTTTGGCTCTACAAGAATTGATTTCTCTCTCATATTTTTATCAAGATTCCAGAGACTGACTTTAGCAGTGGTTGTGTTTTGCTTCACATCCTTTTGTAATGCTTTCGAACAGTTCTCACAGGGAGTAGAGAGCACTTCATCGTCTCTAGCAATCAGCTAAAACATGAAGCGCTGCGTGAGGGCTTCAAAAAATCGAAAAAAAGCAAAAATTAGCACAATAACCTTTTTGAATCGATCACCGCACTGTTGCGTAAGATCAGCGAAGAACTCTTTGAAAGTGCAGACCTGCAAATGAAATAGTAGTGTTGAAGCATTTACAAAGGAAGTACTCACCGTTGACAGCCCATCGGGCACAACTTTGACGCGATCGCAAGTACTTGGACGTGGATTAGCCGAGGGATCAATGCGAGTAACTCTGAAAAAAGGTGCAGGCAACTCAAGATGGACAAAGATATCAATCTTTGGTGACATACTTGCTCAGCTCGTTTTTAGGAATGGTTTTTGGAGGGCTTCTAGTTGATGAAGGAGAAGTAATCCAGTCCACAATTATAGAATGAGTTTCAATCTAAGAAAATTTGAAGAATAAATCTTAGTAAGTTTTCTAGACAACCGACATTACCTTTTCTATGATGCACTTGACACTGCCAACCCCCCTACGTCTCCTGGAGGCAGTAAGTGTTTTGGGCGGAGTACCTTCCCAAGTTGCTGAGCGTCCTGAGCCAATAGAAAGCATAACAAAACTAGAGGACGATCGAAAAGAGGGAAACATACCAATCGCTTCACTAATCGAGATCGACACGCATTCGCCAGGCACAAGCGCCTTTCCGTCATCACAATGATCCTGACGTCGGAGGTAAACTCCACTTCGACCTCCTTCTTTGACGACAAAACTACAAAGAGGCATTTAAACTTCCTAACACAATCATATTGCGTTGACACATTGAAAATGCATGGAATAATTATCAGCGAATTAGAGTTTTGTCGCAAATGCAAATCAAAAGAACAAGTAAAGGTTTAGCGTTTGAAAACCAACCGATATCTGCCACGATATACCAAGGTGACATCGTTGACACAATCACTGGCATTTCCTATCCAATCCTTGTACATCACATAATTGTGCGCAGAATTGTAATTCACCATTTCGGTCTACAATATAAAACTGAATGCAAAAAAACTCAACGAG